CAATATGAAGGTTGGCATCCGAATAACCACTCAAATGAGGACTTTAATGGTGCAAAAAGAAAGGTGCCACTTAATACTGTGACATTCGGGGCGGATCGTGTTTGAAACTGCTTGCCCTTGTATTCTGGCTTGGGGGAGGGACATCACTTTCCTCATTCGTAGGCATGCTTTCTGCAAAACAAACATAGTTTGTTTGCCAGCCACCTGTCCTGTTCTGGGGAGAGTTCATGTGCAATTCGTGCACTTGTATCCATTGCATTAGGGTCCTTGGGGGCAGTCGCCTTGGTTGCCATGGTCTGTCCAGTAGACTTGTTGCCTGAGATTTGCTGGAGATGTTTGATTTCAATCTCCAGGCAGAACTCAAGATAGTCCATCCAAGTGGTTGGAATCTTCGAGGGATCTAGTGTCTCTGTGACCGACATGACTGTTTGGATATGGGTCGACCATTGTTCCCTGATTTTAACGATCAAATCTTCGTCAGAGTATCCTGATTCGGGGGGCGTAGGCCCTGAAATTCTCTGCAAAGGCAATCATTGTCTTGTGGTGAATGGCGCAGTGCACATCTAACAGTGATTGTGCCATGCGCTTAGGGTCAAGTGTCTTGTATGCCATCTCCAGTTTCCTGGTGTATTCTGCCCATGTACCAACGTCTTGTCCAGAGGTGAGCTTGATTGCATACTCTTTCATGTATAGAGCAGCTCCTCCTTCCAGATGTGCATTGGCTTGCCGAATTTTGTCCTTGTCATCGGTGAAATGGTTGTAATTGAGCCAAATGAGAAGGTTCATGAACCAGGTCTCGAAGTTCTCCGATGACTTTCTCCCTGGGTATTTGGGAGGGTCTGAGAGCTTGATTCAGCGAGGCAATTGACTGGATAGGCTGGCCAGTGGTTGGATACCTTGGGGAGGTGCATTGATGATGGCATTGTTGAGTCGAAACTCTAAGCCAACGATGTAGGTCGTGGTCTTCTCCTGTGCCTCCTTCAGGGCGACCATGTTGCCATAAAGGGCGTCCATCTGGCCCTTTACTTCGTCCTTGTAATCTTTGAAGTCCTTGCGGATTGCTTGGGCTTCAGCTGTCAGACTGTTGTTCGACTTGATGAGCTGTTCATTGTCGGCAGAGAGGGTGCCGATCTGGGCTCTTGCGATTTTTAGCTGGTCTCATGTTTCTACCACCATTATTTTGATGTGGATGCGAACCAGGATCTCTTCTTCCAATGAGGCCACCATGCACTCATGATGTTCATCCATTTTTTGACGGAGCGCTTCATAGGAACTTACAACATCCCTCATGATGAATGCTCGCACCATATTCATCGTCCATTCTTTAACGTCATTGGGGATGGTGTTAGGTGCAGCAGCATCGGCGGCTTTCTCAATCATGTCATAAGAGATCCCCTGCCATTCCCAGGTCTGAGGTGTGGTGAATTCTGGCAGAGTGGTGGGCGACGGGTTTCTGACTACTCTCGATGCCTTGGGTGTGCTGCTAGTATGGGGCTCATTTGCAGGGGCAGCTGGTCCTGCTTCGGATGACGTAGAGGGGGCTTGACTCCTCCAGGGGTCAGCCGGCTCACTTGCAGTGTGTTCTCCTAGGAACGCAACACCGTCAAGGTTGTATTGAGACATTGGAATTGATGTCGAAGATAGTGGAAATGAAGTGATGGACAATATGGGAATCGATTCTTAGTCTCGGCCTTGTGATGATGTATTTATACAAAAAATATTACTGGTCCTAGTAAGGCCAGTAGCATGACTTCTTCTCGAACCTCACAATGTCTCGTCCTACATGCTCCTGCTCCTTGTTGATGTTCCTAAACGAAATTGTTCCTCATCCTATGCAAAGCTTGATTGCGATGTGTCTATCGATGAATGTACAGTCATCGCCTCATCCAATCCTTTCATTTAATGCCCCTAAGTGTCACAAAATGCGATGGCGACACTGGATCTGTTTCTCCGTGAACTTGGCAGCGATATGAGGCTGCTGCAAGACTTTGTATCACTGAATAGTAGCATATACAGTCAGCGCAATGTTCTCGGGGAGTGTGCCCTTGGGGTTCTCATGTATTCCACGAGGGTGATAACTCTTAGAGAGTGTGAAGGCAAGGACAGCCGTGGTGTCATCGTTAGACCACCAGTGAGGTTTGTAAATGGGGACAGATGGGTCAGATGCGTCTCTTGGAACTGCTTCAGCCCACGAGCTAACCTTAGTGCACAGCTTCTGTAGCTCTGAGTGAGGGGGCTCATTGGGCTTGGCCCGGAGTAGGTTTCTCGCTGTCAGACGACGAGTGTGGTTGGGATGGGGATGGTAAGGGTGGTAGCGTCCGTTGGGCAGAACGATACCATTGTGCACTTGAGGCGCTTTACCGGTCGATGCAGCACTGTTCCTTTTGAAGGAAGGGAGCGGCTTAGGTGGTAGAGGCAAAGTGGAATGGTATGAGGGAAGTGGTGTGGAAAAAGCCCTGCCCTGGGCGGATGTGTCTCTGGGTGAAAATGCACGGCTACCAGTGTTAGACACTTGGTAGGGGCGTAAAAGGTCAGTCTTATTCTAATGTCATGGCATGCCGATGACAAAGATAGACAATCAAAATAGAGTCCCCTTGAGGGCCTCCTGGCTAAGAGCCTACAGCGACGAGCTGTGGTGGTACGATGTGCCCACTGACGAGGCCTAGTCGCTAGTCGCAGAGTAAGACTTACTGGTGAGGTGAGGGGCGCTATCACACTGGTGAGGATGCAAAAAGATGTATAGCACACTGAGAGTGTCTGGTAAGACCCCTCTGTGATGGTAGTGGTGGACGAAGGAGAATAAGACTGAGGTCTCCTCCTCATCTCGCTGGTCCTTATATACATGATTGTCTAGCTACTGTACAGTACTACATAAGCGAGTCACATGCTATTCTACTGGATGGTGCTACAATCATATGACTTGTCCCAATTATCGTAATTGGTTGCCTAATAATAACCCGTGGAGACGGAGCTCCTCTTGAGCATGCAATATGGCGTCATGGCAATTGCGACATATGATGCAATGCCGAGGAGCTCAGTGTCATGTGACAATGCCGAAAGAGATCTGAGGTCATGTAACTAGATGCCTTGTTATCTTATCTCCCATTAGGTCACGTGATTCTTGTGCGACGAGAAATGATGAAAAATGATATGCTTCTAGTAGCATTCGTTCCTATAATGACTTGTCAGGTAAAAACTGTAACAGAAGGATCAAAATGTCAGAGGATTGGAGCAGAGAGGAAGGCCACCTTGAGGGTTTCGAAAGACGTGCGGGCAGCAGGTGTGAACGAAAATCCGTTTGGATCCTTCTTAGTGAGCACATTGAGAGCGAGTGCTTTGTCGGCATAATTTTTTATAAACCGTCAATAGAAGTTGGTGAAACCGAGGAACACTTGAACATCGCAGAGCATCCGGGGAATGAGCCAATCGGACACAGTTTGGAGTTTTTTCGGGTTCATCTTAACACCATCAGCGCTGACGATGTAGCCAAGATATTTGACAGATGTCTTGTCAGATTCGCATTTCTTAGCATTGGCATAGAGTCCAGCAGCTTGCAGGCATTGGAGGATCTGTTGAACATGAACATCATGATCGTCTTGTGTGCGGGAGAAAATAAGGATGTCATCGAGATAGATGACACAAGTGATATCGAGAAGGTCGCGGAGCATGTCTTGAATAAATGCCTGGAAAGTGGCAGGAGCATTGGTAAGGTCAAACGGCATTACTGTATATTTGAAGAGGCCTAAGTGAGTATGGAATGCAGTCTTCCACTCATCGCCCTCCCGGATGCAGATGAGGTTGAAGGCATTCTTGAGGTCGAGAACTGTGAATACCTTGCAGCCTTGAATGCGGTCGAGAAGATTGTTAACAAGGAGAAGAGGATAGCAGTTCTTCTTGGTAATAGAGTTAAGTCCACGATAATTGACACAGAGGCACAGCTCCCCAGTTTTTTTTTTCGTACAAACAGGATTGAAGAAGCTGCAGGAGAAGTAAAGCGCCGGATGAAGCCTTTCTTAAGGTTGGTTTCGATGTAGTCCAGTAGCACAGTTCGTTCATCCTGGGAAAGCGAGTAGATTGGGCTGAATGGAGGAGTTTTGTTATCTTCAATATCGATAGCCATGTCATATGGTCAGTGAGGAGGAAGTTGGTCGACATCCACCGAAGAGAAGACAGAGGCCCAGGAGTGATACTTGGCAGGAAGCATGGTGCAGATATCCTCAGAGGTGGGAGGTGGCTCTGGTGAACGAAGGTCTGCTGGGAACAAAGATGGTGGAGGAGGAGAGGTGTCGATGGAGGCGATAGTATCATGGGGGCCAGAAGGCGTATACCAGATAATTGCAGTGGTGTTACACTTGGCGCACTTGGCAAAACGTGAGGAGTTGATGAGAGAAATGTTTATAGCAGCAGGTGGCTAAGCATTCTCAGCTGAAGAGAATATAGCTGAAAAAAGCTGTCGGTGACCAGAGCCAAGGACAGGTCGGTGAAAGGAGAGAAGTGGGATGGAGGGAACAGCCACAGAGGATGTGATGCCTCCTAGGTGTCACAAGCATTCCGGGCGGTGAATGGCATCTGGAATCGCAGGACAGAGAGTATTGCCACATAGACTGAGGCCTAGGCCAACAGATGTAGAAGAGAGCACTGAGATGGAGGTCAAAGGTGCAGGGGGTGGCACAAGACCATAGCCTTGGCCAAAAGCAAACAGCAGCGAGTGAGATGCACTGCAGCAGGAAAGCGCAAGGTGGCCATGAGCCCAGTCGATGGCAGAATTATGTCGTCACAACCAGTCAAGTGTCACAGATTTTTGCCACAAAAGTCCGCACGTGACTTTTCTCACACCACAGATCACGTGCTTCACCAATATCTCAC